TGACCACAACAAAAATATTTTTCATTTCTTTTTACACAGATAAAAACTATTACGACTTTTTTAAAATCGTTGTTTTGAAGTTGATGCTTTTTCTGTATATAGGTGTAAAGCAAATGTATCTGTTTTAGGAAGCCTAAAAAAGTTTATGTAAGTTATGTAATGGAAGCGTACAGAGCAACCGTTATAATTTAATACTCAGAACACTTTGAAGTTACACTCAATTGCATAGACTGTACATACACTTAGTCCGGGTTAGTGTACATGATAGTTATTACATATTATAAAAAAGTACACGAGTTCAAGGTGACTACTCACAACACATTGTAGGCGTACATCGACTTGCCGAAATAATATGGATACCTGCCTTGAAAATAAGCCATGTCTATCCAGTATGCTTTGTAAAGTATTGTAGTAAATAAAACTTTGAGATTCCTAGTGGGTCAACGGTAAGTTTACGGACTTATAACGCTAAAGTCCATGGTTCGATTCCCTACGATGGACAGAACGTAAATAACACATTTTGTTGCTTTACGCTTAAAAAAGAAACAAGAGTATAGATAGGTAGATTCATGATATTACAAGAAATGTAGGTTCAAGAAGTCTTAATAGAAAAACCTATAACCCGAGCTCTTTCGAAGGATGGCCCTTTCTTCTTCAGGGGCAAACTGGGAATAGGTAGATTAAGGTTGTGCAGTTTGTATGACTTATGCCAAAATGTCGCGAATTATATAAACTTAAGGGACGAAAGAATATACGTTGTTGTATTCTGGAAAACTAGTACTGGAAAACTAGATAATTTTTAGTCACGTGCGATCTATTGTTTATAAGATAAATTCAACTACGTTCAAACTTGACATCTATAAAAAGTTCAAATCAGCTGAAATTTCTGTCGGAGAGTGACAATCGTTAACTTGTTAACCTTCAAATGATCGATTTTTTCACACCGTTCACTAGTAATAAGGTCCAGATACTGCGTCATTTTGAATGATTTTATACTTGCCTATTATACAAAACTTTTTATAAGGAACGGGAGAAAAACACGGTGAAATCGCTCGTTTTCTATTAAAATACACAGAAACGAGTGTTTTCACATAATGATATTAATTACAATATTAGTGTTCGTTTTTCTTCATATTTTATGTGACTTGTAAATTATTAGGGTCATGGATCTACAAGCAGTTTGGGGCATGGATATTTTAGAAAATACGTTTAAAAAGGCGATGGGGCTAAGGCTGCGCGAAGAATAGTTATTCATGTTTGCAACTGCAATAAACTCACAGAAAGTTTCACGTATAAGTCCGATAAGCCCGTGAGTTCAGCGCAGAGTGCTCTCCATGAGTGTGAACACTCTGTATGATTGTGAAAACCATACATCACCATCAAGAATGATCTGTACCATTTTGTCTTGTGTAAAACCCACCAGCACTGTAATCTTGCTAACTGATCGCGAGTTTGGTGGAGATTGAGAACTATTTCACTCTGAATCAGAGTGATGGCTGATAATAAGTTTGGAAGAAGACAAGAGACCGTGATGATGTTGTGCCAGTTGTAAAGAATTGTGTTGGTGCAGTTTGTGTGTGGGATGTATTTGGCATTGGGGCGCGATGCCTGTCTGTAAAGAAATTATGCATCTAAGTGTCTATTGATATCATGACGGAATGCTTTGCTCAGCAGGATAATGCTACCAGAAAAAACAGCAAGCAAATACAATACATTCTTGAATTTAAAATAAATATATCAACGTCTTTGAATATGTCCTCCTCATAAGCCCGATCTTAAACGTATAGGACATCTTTAGGGCCATATAGCGGTATTTATAAGAAAGGTTTGATCACATGTTTCCAGTCTTCAATATTTGGGTGAGATTTTCAAACAACAATGGAAAAAAAATTGCACCAAACACCCATTGGAACCTAGTTTTCACGAAAAATATCAGCACGTATTTAGGACAAAGACGATGCCACACCGTATTATAGAAATTATCACTATGACTTACTCGGCAATGTGTTGCCACACTGTATTATGGAAATGATCACCATGACATATTCAGCAGTGTATTGCTACAACGTTTTATGGGAATGATCACTATGACATACTCAGCAGTGTATTTCCACACTGTATTATGGAAATGATCACCATGACATATTCAGCAGTGTATTGCTACAACGTTTTATGGGAATGATCACTATGACATACTCAGCAGTGTATTTCCACACCGTATTATGGAAATGATCACTATGACATACCTAGCAATATATTCGTTTGGAAGTATAGAATCATATTATTACTTAAGTAGTAAAGAGGATGTTGAAACAACTTTTGAATCATTGTAATTAAATCATTCATGTCAACGAATATAGTCAACACTAAATTCTCAGATATTTACTTCCATGTGGAATTAGTTATATCTCGTTCTTTAAGTATGGGTCTGGTGTGGCCAATTAGCTAGAGTGCTCGGACTGTGATATAAGAGCGACACTCAGCTACCATTATTAAGTTAGAAGAGTAGCTCAAGTGTTGGTGGTTGGTGCCACTGATTAGCTGCATTGCTTCTAATCTACCAGTTCGGACGGTTAAAGTTATACCTAGATAGATCTTTATGTACAATTGCGCGAAAATTCTGAAACGAAAGAATGGTTGACTCATATACAATTTTGCACAAGGATATATGATCTGAAAAAAAAAGAAAATATTTTGTCTGTTCTGTTGTGTTTAAGCTAAAAAGTACACAATGGACTGACTATCTGTGCTGTGCCCACTATGAATATCGACCCTCAATTTCCATTGTTTAAGCCTTCAAGCTTACCAATGATATCTAACAGTAGATATGGACTGTATGATAAAAGCGAAAAGTGTAGACACTCTTGATAGTCTTGGTAGTGTACTGAATATTGATAATTAACAGAAAGAGACACTTCAATTCTTAAGCATAGTTTTGTAATGAAAAAACAAATATAAAGCCACATTTTAAGGGTAAAGACACAACGTTATAGATTAGATATGCTTTTAACATTTATGTCAGGTACATATATATCTGTGGGTGAGTATCTTTATGTTGTTCAACATACTGTAGAAAGTTTTACTATAAAATATCAAATAGTATTTTTAGCGTTATTTTTTTATACGGATAAGGAACAGGCTTGAAAGTGTGTTGTGTTTTGATAAAAGCGCTTTTCATTGGAGCTCTGAGCTAACTTTCTCTCTGAAACTACCTTATATATTAAAACACTATTTTGCTTAGGGAAACTTGAATTTTTTATGAGTCCTCACAGAATTATTTCGGCATTTTATGGTTTGTGAAGGATATTTGGTATCTTAGCAGACTCCGGTTTCTCAGCCTGTCATTAATTTGCATCTCTAAAAAGATGCTATAAACATCGAAGCTGGAATGGGTGACTTGTATAGCAAAACACTTTTATAACCTCTTTGTGAGAAATGCATTCCTCGTGGACTTCCTTTCGAGGCAATAATAATAGTAAGTTGAAGAGGCGAAATGCCTACGATGCTTTTAGAAGGATGACATTGTAGCGGCTCAATGGTGCAGTGGAGGTAAAAATTCGGTTAGAGTAAGCTTATTCAGTTTGAATGGTGAACATTAAATGACCCCAATTAGCATAGAGATGACCCACATCAGCAGATGGGTTCCTTACTTATTACAGATAATTTGTCAGAAGTTTTTAAAAGGATCTCGGTGGATTTCTTTTCTGAAATGGTTCCATAGTTGTAATCACCTTTTTAGTAATAAAATCGAAAGCGAAAAGTCCAAAGGTTGTAAATAACAAACTGAAAACCTTTCATACGACAGATTTTTTTTATATCTTTTGATTCAAAACGGAAGAGAGGATGCTTTTCCCGGATGGATTTTCTCATTACCTTCCATCTAAATGAGATTTCTGCAATCAGCATCTGCTTCATTAATTTTAACATAGTTTAACGGCTCATGCAATTATCAGTTTTGTTCTGCAATGTCAAAGTTTGTTTTCTCATAAAGTATTGATTTAAAGGATGAAACAGAAAAGAAACTGGACATTAGTTATTCCTAAGTAATCAGACTTGCGAAGTTAAAACTTTTGGCAAAGCCTTCGATTTCGAAATGTTGCCATATATTTTTATTTTAAGCAAAACTATATGCACCACATTTGTTAAAAACAAAAAAGAAAACGTACACAACATATTACGCCGAAGAAAACGCTATTTCTTGTGAACATAATCAGACTCTCTTATTTGAGTTATGGGAAACGATATGATATGAGCTAACATTTTTTTATTATCTACTGACTAAGAAAATTCAAAACAATGTGAAAGCTTTGATTAAATATAGTCATAATGCCAAACGTTATACTGAAGTATTTAAAATATAATTTTCTTTTAAAAAAAAACATTAATTTTTCTCACAATCACATTGTGCAGTAAATGCAACTAGTTAATACAGTGCTTACGAACGCAAACCTAGAATAATAAAACGATTTCATTTTGATAATAGTACCTGTAAAGACAGTGCAGCAATAAAGTGGATAAGGAGGGGTCTAACCTCGTTTTGAATAAAATGGACCAGACTGAATTACTGTAAACATTTTGGTTTGAGTTGCCGTTGTAAAAGAATGCTCGTGAAAAATTTTCGAATAAATCAAGTACTAAGAAACATCACATTTATCTATCCTTTGAAATGAACTTACACTAAGAAAAGCAATGCTTACTTAAACCTAACAAATGAGCTCTCACACAGAAACACGCTAAATGTCAGGGTTAAGGAACAAGACATCATTTAACGTTAAGTGTGTCATACCTTAAAATCAAACATAAGGTTTATTCGTCGTGACAGATATACACATATAAATATATAATGATTTAACTTGACATGTGATGCGTCATATCTCAAAATTAGATGTAAGGTTTACTTGTCATGAAACATACATACATATAAATATACAGTAAACTGTAACGTTTGAGAAACGTTTTGAAGATTAACATGAAGATTAACCAATGCGTTATATTCTTACGTAAAACATCCAGGTAGCCAGTGATGCTGATCATCGGTTCTGTGTTTATTTGGCACATGTAGAGACCTTTGTCTTCTTCCACCACATTCTTGATGTGAAGGAACCACTGGCGAAAACTGTTGTTTGTCACTCGTATACGTTTGTCATGTGGAATGACGTTGGTGTCAATCGTGAGCAGCGTCTGTGTGTCATACTTAATCCAGGCTACCTGTAACAAGTCAGCGAAACTCTAATTAGAAATGGCTTGACAACTAGTTCCAATTTGCTCTTCATACTGACGATACATAGATTAATCTTACGTAACTGTTCGATAGCGCTAAGTGCTTATGTTTACAATCAGGCTTTACTCGTACAACACACCGAGTATTTACAAATGTCTGAAACTGATTAAATCCATAAATTGCTACAGAAATGTTGAAACTGTAGAATGTAATACTGTTAATTAACAGGCCATACTAATGGCAGCACTGTGTTTGAATAAGTAAACGAATGCGCGAAATCTGAACGGATTCGCCTAGTAATAAATTCATCATGGACAAGGCTAATTAACTAATAAAGATATTTTCCACGTTTTGCTTCTCTAAACAGCTTTGGGTGTGGTACCTTACTTTACAATTTTGTAGAAAAATGGAACATAACGTTTTTAACATGCAGAAACAATCAACTTGTTAAAAATGTTTACAAACTAATCGCAAGTGCACGTGTTTATCTTAAGTTGTTACAATAAACCAGAATATTTGTTCCATATGCCACCTTGTGTAATTATCGATTTGTTTAATATTTTTCTACTAAACAACAATAAAAAATCTATTATTGGCTAGAAAATTATATGTATAAAAAGAGAAATGACTGTGAAATTGTTTGATTCTAAGTTTATTGTTCTCTTTTCTGCATATTGCACAAGAAGCCCAAAGAATTCTCCTCAACGAACTCTGTATTTAGTGCCTTGCCTTGCAGCTTCAAATATAGGATGAGCCGTGACTTTAACCCTTTCAGTGCTAACAACATATGAGATACGGTAGTCGGTGTATTACCCTTTAACAAGGTACGCATTCAAAGAGTGGCGGGAAAAGTAAACCCGTATGTTACACGGTGATAGCATTCTCACCGACTACCGTATTTCATACGGTGATAGCACTGAGAGGGTTAAGTTAGATACAGGTTCTGCTATTTTATTAACGCCTTCCGTGTCAGGATTTTTCTTGGAAATGAGCTCAAATGAGCTAAAAACGTTATCGCAAAAATTAATCTTAAAGAGTTGTTTCTTCTGTGGTTTTCTGGAGAACGTTTCTTTTTTTTAAACAAAACAAAAACAAGGCGTGATCCTTTCAACAAGGTGAATTGAAAATAAATTATTATTTTTAATTTAGCAAACCAGCAAACATGCTTTTGTTTGGGCGAGGTAAGTTATAAGCTACTATTTTGGATTTTACAGCTAAGCCAGGTTTTATATTATTGTGGTTTTATTACATAATTGGGTATGTTTGTAAAATAAAAGCTGTAAACAAATGTACTGATGTAAATTGCACTTTATAAGAACTATTTTCTAGGTACCATGCTGACCTTAGAAATATTTTCTTCATCGTCATCATGGTCAGCTCAGTAGCCATGATTAGGCATCATTGACCGACGTCACACATTCATTGTAACAAACTTCAGCGAAGTAAGCAAGGCCAGTCTTAGATCACACATCTTGAAAGACTTTCCATAGACCTTTTTATGTACTTGGACGCCAGTTTCCAAGAACATGTTCGAATACGCCAAAATCACAAAAGTCCGTTGGAACTGCAAGGCGGGACTTGGCAGATATGTGGTCAAGTTAAATATCTATAGCTGCAGTTTCTTCAGCCATTTTTTAAATAATAAAATTAATTCGTTGATACTAATGTTTGGCTGGAAACTTGTGAAAGTTAATAAACTTTAAGTTCTCCTTTGACATCTTATTAGCGGTGCCAGGAGTAATGAACCTATACTTCTGAACCTATACAAAATATGTATATTAATTTTTTATTACCACAGCGAAGAAAATGCAAGTCCTATGTGAGTTCTAATGTAACATGTACAAGGAAGACAAGTAAGGTCATTGATGAATGACGTATTTGTTAGAAAACCCACAAACCTGTCATTCACTCTCGGTCTCTTGAGCAATAAGTCGAGAGCAACCCTAAAGCAGAGGAGCACTGTGAGTGTCACTGTGTACAGCAAAAGAGATATAACACAAACAAGATAGATTGTAGACATCTATTGCCTAAGTAGGTACGTTGTAAACACGTGTTATCTTCCAAAATTGGCTGTAAACATTTATTACCTTACAAGATAAGTAGACATCTATTACCTAACAAGGGACGTTGTAACACGTGTTAAATGTTTACAGCTTATCTTCGAAGGTATTACCTTATAAGATAAGCTGTAGACACCTACTACCTAACAAAGTACGTTGAAAACACGTGTTATCTTCCAAAATAAGCTGTAAGCATTTATTACCTTATAAGATAAGCTGTAGATACCTAGTATTTAACAATGTACGTTGTAAACACGTGTTATATTCCAAGATAAGTCGCAAGGAAAGTTAATGTGTCACATTTCAACATTAAATGCTAAAGTTTTCTCGTCGCGACACACGCATGTACACAAACAAATATCATATATAATGTGTCATGTTTCAGTGGTGACACCGCTCATTCCAACTGTTCAAGTGGATAAGATAGTTGTAAGAAAAAGTAATGAAAATATGTTTCGAAAGATAAAAAACAATTAAAGACAAAAATGTTATATTAAAAGGTAAACCGTAAACAAATTGTATTTTATAAGACAAGGTACTAGTAAATGATGTACCAAACAGTGTTGTGTTACGAGGTATATAAGGTAAATTTTAATGAGCAGTTGCCATACAAAATAAATCGCAAACTTACAATGTTATGTTTCACAAAATTTTGAATAAATGATGATTTCTTACATAACATTATTTCTATGAACGCGTAGTATTTGTTTAAAAAGTAAGCATCTTGCGAAAAAATTAGTGTATGTAAGAAAAACACAATTAGTCTCGTGAAGTCGATCATAAGATATCAGTAGAAAACATTGCGATTCATCACATTCATATGTTAGATCTAATATTAATTTTTATAATCGAAACCCTCAAGATCCTGAAGGCACAGTATAGTGTTCTTGATAAGAATTATACGATTCTATGTAAATAAAGGATTAAACAAATACAGCGTTTCACTAGGGCGAGGCAAGTAATTTATTCAACTAGGAGACTAACATGGGACTATCAACACTTGAAAATAATCATCGTGTCATTAATGTACATTTTTCTTTCATCTGAGAAACCTGCTACAAAATATATATTTTTTATTTAATCTCATGCATTAAATTTTCAGTTCACCCAGAGCATACACCGCATGAAGCGGGTAATCAGAGGCAAGATAATCATCGTCATTTGAATGTATAAATTCGATCAAAGGGCAAATTCACAGCTGGAAGTGAAAGCATAAGATAAACGACTTCCGCAAAGTGTTGTAGAAAATACACAAAACTGGTTAATCACATAACCCCCACACACTCTCTCTCTCTTTTTGTCTATCAATCTATCTATTCCTCTGTCTGTCTATCTGTTTCTAACTCTTGGTTTTAATTTTCAAGCATAATCTCCGTAACAAATTCTCTACCTACACGAGTGTAAAGTATGTAACAGAATGTAACAACTAAGGCATTGAACGAGATATCACGTCAGCAGCTTGTTGTAATAAGCAGATTGTAGTTTTAAAGTGTACCAATGCTTTTATTCCTAGATATGAGAAGCGAGATGGTTATAAATTAAGTGCGTAATTTATGACCGTTACATTTTAGAATATAAAAAAAAAAAAAACGTTAAACGCAAATATTCTTTTTCTATACTCTGACGTTTTAATTCAAAGAAATACCGCCACAAGTTTTTTTAGGAAATGATTTATTAAAAAAGGTTGTTAATTTTTATTTCAATTTACTACCGAGAAACAATGAATCAAACTTTCACAATAATCAAGTTAGCTATTGGATAGAAAAACCAAGAACTGACAACGTCTTTCGTAGAAAAGATCAAATGTTATTGAGTTGCTACTTGCATCTCCTCTGTCTTGTTCTAACTTGTTTGAACATTATTTATAAAAGTGGTTTCATAGTGGACTATGTTTTGTCATCAAACTTATAACGATAATATATTTCGCAAATGAACGAAAGGAAATCGAATTTTTAAAATCACGTTACATAGTTTTCACATCTATACATCAATTTGGCATTTAACCTTTGGATTTCTCTTTATATATTTTGCCGGTAGGTTCAACGTATTTTGTACAAAGCCATACACATAAGTGTATAGTTATTACATAAGGATATTGGATACAAATGATATTAAAACTGTTACCTTATAACTGCCCAGATGATTCACTTTACATTCCAGCTTTGCCTCTCTTCCCACAGCAACAGTAACGTTCGGAATTGCTCGAACAAACTCTGGTTCTACTTCTGAACCTATAGAAAATATGTATATTAATTTTTTATTACCACAGCGAAGAAAATGCAAGTCCTATGTGAGTTCTAATGTAACATGTACAAGGAAGACAAGTAAGGTCATTGATGAATGACGTATTTGTTAGAAAACCCACAAACCTGTCATTTATTCTCGGTCTCTTGAGCAATAAGTCGAGAGCAACCCTAAAGAAGAGGAGCACTGTGAGTATCACTGATACAGCAAAAGAGATATAACACAAACAAGTGAAACAGGTAAATTGAGCTACTTAATCCTTTCCTACTTCACTCAAGCTTTAAATGCCATTCATGTTGCTGTTGTTACTTTAACGCAAAGCCACATAACGGGCTATCTGCGCTCTGCCCACCGTTGGGAATCGAGTTCCGGATTTTAGCATTATAAGTCTATAAACCTACCGCTGACCTACTGGGTGACAAAGTTCATTGTAAATGTTCAAGGATAAGATAATTGTAGGAAATAAGAAATGGAAAATGTCTTTGGAAAGATAAACAAAAAACCTCAGGGCTTTAAAGTCGAAACAAGTTAAATCTAACGAGTGGAGAACATAATGTAGGTATGAGAATGAGAAAACTCGTCATAGGCTGACTGACACCTACAGTCAAACCCTAGTCAATATCAGTTAACACTGACCAGATTTGTCTGTTCCTTCTTATGAGACAGAATCAGTAACTGCCATTAGTAGTGTTACTTCAACGCTTAAATACAAGATGAGGAAAATCTGAGTTGAACACGAATAGGAATATTATACCTTGCTATTAGATCATGCCTATAATATTGTGAATGTACAGAATTAATTATATTAGAACATTTTATGCCTAATCACGAACTCAATCAAGGATCTTAATTGGGTGAAGGCATTCGGAAACTTGGCAGAAAAAAAGTCTTACATGTATTTTATATACAATGCATCCTCTAGGATAATCCTGCTGATTAGAAAGGGGGAAAACTATGGCTTAAATATTGTTTTACAACTTATTTAATGGAAATCGATAAAAAATACTTGATGATAAACAATGCAAGTTGTTTGACACTTTCCATTCTGGATCACCTAATATCCGAGCTGAATTCGACCAAGAAAACTCGTAAGAACTGACAATCTTTCCTGAGACAACATGTCAGTAATGAATTGAAAATCTTTAGAAACTTCAGATCCTTTGGAGAAAACCTCACACGTCTATGTTACTTTAAAATAGTATTAAAATACTACACACGGTTGCCAACAGTTGCTTTTGTCTCACTGTCCCTTTCCTTAGTGTTATTTGACAGATTTCCATTATTGTTGTCATATTGAGTTCCGGGTGAAAAACTTATAGACAGTTTCTAATTCGGGTTTCCGAATGAGTACATTTTGACTTCAATTTTCTCATACGTAAACTCTTTCCAATTGCTGACATTTGTGTGAAAGTTAAAGACAAAGAGGGGAGTGACTACAGTGGCACTTGAGATAATAACCATTAATACAAACAAAGTAGAAATGTTGCTTCCGACATCTAACAACACTCTGTCTCTCTCTTTCTAGTGCAACAAGAAGGACATTAGAATATTCAACTCTGCAAGATGATAGAATCCACAGGAGGTTACCACACTCACAGTCTTCCTTTTTTGTTTTTTTAAATTAATGAGACAAATAATACCATGTTTTTATTGAAAGCTTAATTAAGGAAACGTTACACAGCAAGAGATAAAATGCATATTAATCATAAGAGTGAGGTTTATTTCCATCTTGTTCCTTTAAGTTATTTCTCAAGCTTTCGGTTACAATGTCAGCAACCATCATCAAGTGTTTTGTATACGAACTGACAGTTAATCATTTAAGAATTTTCGGACTATTAAAACAAACGAAAGATCATCAATCGTATAATGAGTTTTGTTGTTACAACAATACTGTGAACATTGGGTAATCCCACGGTGGGTTAGCGGTAAGTTTATGGACTTAAAGTACTAAAATTCAGGGATCGAATTCTCGAGGTGGACAGAACAAACAGACGTCAGATAATGAAATAAACGCAATAATATTTTTACGAAGGTTAACAATATCGCTACCTGGAAATGTTTACGAAGGTTAACAATATCGCTACCTGGAAATGTTTACGAAGGTTAACAATATCGCTACCTGGAAATGTTTACGAAGGTTAACAATATTGCTACCTAGAAATATTGTGTAAAACTTTTAGGCAGTTTATAATTTTAGCTTCTGAATGAGTTTTTAAAGAAGTGAATACACGCTACTTAAAAGTCAGCCATAATATAACTTTGAAATATTGGTGTTCTTGGTTCTCAACACTGTCAACTATCGTTGCTCAAACCATAACTTTAATACTACTGTTAACAGAGAACCTAGAGAATGAAATATAAAATTAGAAAATATTACTTACAATAGTGTTTTTTTCTATTTTATTTTTATGTCATGGTCACAAGGTCACTGTTTAGAATTTTATTAGGGCCACTTCATATACCTCACTCTTGTAGTCACAAAATATGATATTAAACTATTCGAATGTTTTCAATGCTCCCCAGTGGCACAGCAGTATATCTGCGTACTTACAACGCTATAAACCAGGTTTCGATACCCGTGGTGGGCAGAGCACAGATAGCCCATTGTGTAGCTTTGTGCTTAATTCCAAACAAACAGACATATCACCCATGTTATGAGCTTACATCAGTATTAGTTTCTTAATATTTAACAGAGAGTACTATTAGGGATGTGCTCTTAATATTCTTACTTTATGAACAATTAAGACAATACGAAGGAAAGTGAAAACATTTACTAACTGGACGACTGATGGGTTTAAATTTGTTTGCAGCCAGAAGTAAATAGCTTTTTAGTTAAATTTTGCTCCGTCTTCACTTTACCCAGATATAAAGTGTTATCAACCGTCTTGGGAAAACTAGAGTGATAGAAACGCCTCTGAGGAAGTACAAGACATGGAAACCTAAGATATAACTGAGATAACGTTTCACGTAAATTATTAAAACAAAACCAGGTAATCTAATCTATGTCGTAAATAAATAAATAAAAACACACTGGAAACATAAGCTTTTGAAAATTCTTTGTATGCAGTAATATAAAGGATATTATTATGGATTATTTTCTGCAGTCGAAATTTTAGTCCACCAAAACTGAAAGAAAACAGAACATTGAACAGTAACGTATACCTACCACCGAACTATATTTTAAAGGTATTTAGGGCTACCATTTGCTATGTTTATCATGGACAGTACGTTTCGTTCGTTTGTTTTAGAACAAAACTACAATGGGTTATCTGCTGTGTCCACCGCGGGGAATCGAACCTCAGGTTTTAGCGTTATCAGTTCGTGACCTTACCGTTGTCCTCCACACATATATATAAGCACATATACAATACCAGTACGTTTAAAATACGACGAAACTTTAAACTTGTTTCATTTGCTTAAGTGAAAACAAACTGCAAAATAAACTATTTGCGCTGTGCCTACCACAGGGATTGAACTTAGATTTGTAGTCCACAAACTTACCGCTCAGCCACCGGGGAGCAACAGTTTTAAACTTGAACATTTTCTTGAGAAGATTATTTAGGTTAGTGTGCTTAGAAATATCCTTGAAAGTTTTCTTGAAAAGGTTATTTAAGTGTTTCAATTAATTATAATTTTTGCCTGTTAACTTAGAAAACAAAAATGTGTGCAAGAAATCGAGACATATTTACTGAGCGATTTTCATACAGATTAATTGCGTAAAGTAACAAGTGTTAGGAATTTGGCTAAAATATCGCTAATGTCGAGTGTACCCAACTGATGAAACAATTCATTATGACCTTCATAAATAAGAACGGTTTATTAAATCAGTCATATTCATTGATGGGTTAAGTTTTAGTTTTGATCTTTGGTGGTATAAGGTCGTTTATTTCTAGTGTTAAAGTGTTCAAACTTAAACTACATTAGCTGCGTGAATTTGCTGAACGTGTTTAAGATCGGGTTTGATTATCTAAACATCTGACATATCACGCTTTCGGTAAGAGCGTGTATGTAGTTGCTACAATTCAATTTATATGCTAAATACAAATTTTGGAAAAATCAAATATCGTATCCGTTAAGATGTGACAGGATTGGATGCATTTAGCTATCATGAATGGGGGAGAAAAGAATTTACAGTTTTCCTTTTACTAACAGACTAAAGTCTCTTTACAGTAACCGTTCCGCATAGTGCCATTAAGGAAATTAAAAGTCGATATCTAATCTTCGACAGTGTATTGTAGGGAAGATCCGAGTATAGCTGTCAAACTTTACTTTCAAGGTACCAAAAACTACCTCAACGTAAAGTTACTATTAGAGACCCATCAACCGATATATTTAAACCAGCTCTGCCATCGGCTTAACATTTCCTTGGACTAGTTTTTATACGTAGTTATTCCGTTTCCACTTAAACATGCTTTCTGAGACGGTTATCTCAAATGTTCATTTGGAAACTTACCTTGTTCACTGTGTGTGTTTTTAGCATTCTAGGAGATGTACTAAAAGCTCAAGCTTTCCGCTACTTCAAGCTTTTTAAGTAAACACACGAGACACAAACGAAATGTGACGTTCTTGAAGCCCAATAGGCTTATCTTCTTAGATGATAACCGTACTTATGGAAAACCTTGTCAAAATACATCTCTCGTTCTCTAATTCCAGCAGCTGTTCTGTCGACTCAGCTGTATATTGAAGCCGTCTCGGTGCCTTATCTTGTCACAAGTACGGCACATACTGGAACGTAGATTTCTGCATATTCGTTGCCCACTGCCTGTGAGTTTTTTCCACTTATATGTCTGGCAGCTGGAAGATACAGAGACCAGATATTCGATTTTCCGACTCTGTTTTTGTCCCTTTCTTTCTTTCTCTTTTCCTGGTTTTCACTACGTTGACGGCTATAAAACACTTAGGGGGCTGTCTATTGATTTACAATGTGTCATCAAAAACACTTTATTTTATATCTTATCAATGTCGTTGTAGTTTTGTTAGAAGAGCA